AGCTAAGACATTAGATAACGTTATGTTATGTCTACATTTTCTATAAATGCTTATGTTAATGTCTGAACGTTGCAATGTGTCATAGACATTTCAACGTAAGACTTATGTTTACTGCTTAGACTTGGATAACTTTATGTTATGTCTACATTTCTATGTATGCTTTTGTTAACGTATCATATGATTAAGATATAAGAGAACATCATGTGAAAATTATCATTCAGTCCTACTTTAAACTGACTGTGCATTAGTGCAGACTACAGACGTGGTGCAGTCTATTTTGTTAATAAATATAACATAACAGTCAATATACGCACAAGAGAAGTAAAATATGAATAGTATAGCAATGAATGATAATGTTATAACCATTTATTTGACCATATCTTTAAACGTGTGAACTCGTCATTGTAGTAAGTTAATCCTTCATTCAGTCAGAAAGGAAAAATCTTCTCGCTCGTACAATAAACCACATAGCTTTGTTACTGGGATAAAATGTATGAAGCCTAAAGCCAAAAGGAAAATATAGCAAATGTGAAGTCTTTTGTTAAGTAGACCGTCCCATGTATTGAAAACAGCAGCGAATGAGACGAAGCGACGTGAAAAGCTCGACACCTTTAAGTGTATTCAATAGTATTCGTTCGTTCGTCTAAAAGAGGCTTGAGGGCTATTTGACGGCTCAATGCAGATATCATGGACCAAATACACATTACCTGCTCGCTACAAGACTTAGTTAGATAGTGTTCTATGCTGGATTTTAAACGAAAACAGTATTTCTGATCAATTTCGAAACGGGATCAAGGATATAGCCGAAATATTTGGATAGAGGTAAGGTTTAAATAGGATTCAATTAAATATTAGATAATATCTCAAATGACACGAAATTTAGAAATATCGAACAAATCTAGAGGATATTTATTGATAAAAATCAGCGATTCTTTCACTTGATATAGCCGTTAGATCAATGAAGTAATTTCTATAGTAAATTGTTTAAACTTGGTTATTCCATTTTCACAACTTCTACACTAGACCTGCAAAGCTTTTATTATTAGTGTTAGGTACTCACACCGTTAGGACTACATGCTTGTGATTATTCACGTTATTTTATGGAACATTTTTGATAATGGATTAGTACTTTTATGGTAAGTACGGGATTTTTCATACGACGTTCCAATTTTACGACTTAAGTTGTCCTCCAAAGCTTTTATTTCACAACATTACTACATGCTTGTGATTTATTGACTTTATTTCACGTTCACATTTTTTGATAAGGGATTAGTACTTAAATAACAAAATTTCGTATTTTGAATATCAAACAATTTTAAGTTCTTATCAAAATTGGTGACAACATTGATGCTAAATCGATTGTACATTATTTTGATCAAAATGGTGGACTGACGCTTGTAAGTTCTGAACTTTTAAGAGTAATTTGACTGGATAATATTACAAAATTGTCCACCATCGAAGTTCTTGTGGATTTACTTCTGTTCTATTTGATTCGCAATTTCTGAACTTATAATGGAGATTTCTTTTTCGCAATAACGAGTTCTCAAAATGAGTACTAAGAATTTTGGTCTTCCGGCTATTCAGGTTCGATCCCGGCGACTTGCCCGTTCGAGGGGCTCATTTCTGGAAATAAGACATAAATCTCCCTTCCATTCCGTTTAGAAGTCATTTTATATATTAGTTAAGTTAAAAACTTTGGATGGAACTAATGCCATACCATAATGCTTCAAATAGGATTAGTCTGTACTTTGATAAATTAGTATGTTAGGAAATTCAAAATTTTTCATGCAAGCTAATCTCATTTTCTAATTGGATTACAATTAAATTGGTAATATTCTTTAAATGAAATGAAAATGTGTTATGATTCAGTGAAAAAGAAAGGTGTTATGAACGACGACCGGTACACCAGAGTGATAGCCATCTCAGCCATCAAGTTTTAAAAACTCTCAAATGCGTGAGGTTGAAATCATTTGTACATGATGCTTTCATACTATCATATACGCAGTTATAAATTATGCACCCATTTCGTTTGATAATTAACTTAATTGTTTTCACATCATTATTTTCAAAGTATAAGTTTTTTAATTCCCGTACAAATGCTTTTAATATAACGAATTAGAGACTATTAAATTATGTACACACGAAGTGTAGAAATCATATTTATTTTGAGAGTGACGTGAAAAATATACTTATATTTCAACACCGCCATTAATAATGCCGATTTTCATAACGATAACTAAAATTAAATCGCACCCCACGCCGCCAAGATCATATGTTAAGTATTAAAAATGCTCTTAAAGTAGGATTGTCTACTATCTTATAACCCATACGTTGAGATATATGACGAAATTTATTCAAATGAAATGAGTTTACGTCTTTTTTAATTATTACCCTTACAGGACCCTTAATCGATTGCATTTACACCCTTGCCCCTTTAATTCCTTATTCGTTATTTTTCTTTTCGGTTTTCACTGCAATCTTTGTCATGTCGGAGAACATAGACTAACTGAATAGAAAGTCTTAAAAAATTGCTCAAAAATTTCATGCTTGCCTACAAAAGTGCCTCATTACCCCAAAAAATTTCCAAATTACCCCCAGGTTGAAAACCTTTGATTTGGAAATTAAGTGGTAACACTTAGACTAAACTATAAGATATGGTAATTCTGGCAATTCACATTTTGTTTATAGGCTTCACGGTTTCAGAGTCCCTTTAAAGTATGTTTTCAAAATAATCAAGGTTAGCACAAATAAAAGCAGAACATGTGCATTAGTAAAAATTGTGTATCACGTAGAAGGTTCAATATGTATGCTATCAAACCATGATTTGCGTACTCTATTCGAGTTTGGTTGTACTGTATTGGTAGAAAATGCCCCTTTAATACACATTTTAACACATGTACGTTAAATTTGTATGAGATGTGCAATCTCGTATTTAGAACACGTAAAGTATAGCGAAAGGTGACCACTTACACGTGAGAGACGGAAATGGAGGCTCATCTTTGGATTTGAAAACATTTCTGGCTCGCTAATGAGCGTGCGGTTAAAAAAATAAGAACTAAAGTGAAAGAGTATGGCCATTATATAAGAAAGCGTAGAATCTAGTTACGGTCAATATATAGAATAAAATACCAAAGTTGCTTAATTCTAAGTGAACTGAATTAGTGAGATTGGAAATTGTCAGCTATCTTAGATAGACAGAAGTGTTCGATTTAGATGCATGTTGAAAGTATGAAAAATGGTTAATTTAGGATATTATTAGAAAGTGCAGTTGTGTACGTTAGTCGTCCATATAAGACGATAAACCCACACCCCTTGTACTGAAACGCTATACGCGTGACACTCACTGATACTAATCGAAAAAGAGCAAGCTAATACCTTTACTCTTGATAAAAATGTCCCCCATAGTACACTTCATGGCGTTATTCAGTTTCATTGGTTCTATCTGAAGCTAAAACGTAGGACCCAATATAATCGGCATACTGTATAGGAAATATATCGGGTGGCTCATAAAAAATGATCACACCCTTCATTGAGGTCAAAATTCTTAGCTTCGATATTTCACAATTAATATTGAAATGAAAAGTGTTATCGTTTTTTTTGGACCACCTTATATAACGGTGATGTAAATCTGACTAAAGTCGATTATCAATGTTAAAGGTGAAAAACGAGAGAGAAAAAATGACACAGTGACATGTAATTTGTAACAGAGAAAAAATGTTCTCACCATGTTGTTACATAGAAAAATAATTAGCCCGGAATGTTATTTTTTACTATTAAAATAACAAGGTTTTATAGCGTTGACAGGCAACTTGTCAAACAGTCCACTTTTCAAATCTCCAGTGGCCAAATCAAATATTTAGAAACGTTCTAAATTAGTTGATTTTCCAGAAATGGAAGATTTCGATAAAGATTTTTACGTCAAAGTTGTCAATCGCTGGTCGGGAATCGAAGATAAAAAAATTCCATTAGAAATCTCGTGTAAGTCGGAGGTAACCTAGTCTCGAAAGTTACGATTTTTATCAAAGGCAAGTGAAGAGAGGATTAGAAGGCTATCGAAAACATCTTCATTCACCGTCCACTAGGGATTAGCGAAAATCTTATATCAAATGAAATACAAGACTTCAAGTTATACTGTATTTTCGTATACCCATATCTTGGTAACAACGCTAGTCGACATTACAAAAGGAAAGGAAAGAAAATCGGTTTTAGAAAGCGAAATGAAATTGTGCTGATTGGGCTAATGAAGCTAACAAATTTTGCAAGCGGCAGCGGCATGGCATTAGCCTACTCTTTTTCGATTTCCAACTGTCGATGGATCTTTAACGTATATCACAGATGACGATTTAAGATGGCCGGATGTTGAATTTTAATTGTAAAAAGTGACACGGATGCTAAAATATATCTCTATCATAAAAGTAAACTAAAAGTTTTTCATCTGCTATAGAAAGTCGTCGTTTTTCTCACTCTTAATATCAATGGTATTTATTCAGTACAGCCGCGAGTGAGTTACTGTTAACCTCTATATAGTCACTGTTAACTTCCGTAGAGTGTTTGGCCCATGGTGAAGCATATTTGAGATCTTCTATCAAATACATACGTTTTAGTTACATGGACACCTAAAACTAAAAATCAAAATATTAGACTGGTTTCCTTTTAATGACAAATAGCAGGCTAATGTTTTATGCCCTCGAACGTTTTAGATGTAAAGCTTTCAAAAATTTTGTTAAAAGAAAGTGCTTGTTGCTTTTGTGTGCTGTTGCAACCAAAATTGACTTGTCAGATAAAAGTGTATCTATGATCGAGTACTTTATACCTCTCTGTAATTATGCTTATCAACTCATTTACAATTGTATACGTAGCTTAAGATTGATTTTAATTTAATATTTAATATCTCTATGGCTTAATGGTACGTTTTTTTTTGTTCTTTCAGAAATGCTGAACTGATGGAGGGTGGCTATTTGATGGATATTTAGTAAATTTTACACCCTTTTAAAACAACCATGGCATTTCGGAATAGTATTTATGTGTTTCTTTTTATATTTGTGCCCGTTTTCGGGAGTTTGTTAGTGGATCAACGTGAAATTAAAGTGAATGTGGGTCGTTTTGTGCATCTCGAACGCCAGGATTTAGTATTTGTACGGATTGGACGTGATGAGGAATGCCGAGTGGAGGTGGTAAATAATGACCCTATCACACAAAGGGTTGGACACATCGAGCCCACGGTAAGCTTCATTCAATTTGAACCCCAAACCTTTTTTTCCACCCGCCAGCTTTATGCACCAGTAACAAAAGATCTCTAATTTAACTCCCAACCTATTGTTCCTCGTGCATCACTCCTTGAAACTGTCAAAATTGAAACACTTTAAAGACGTGGTCATTATCTACAGAACACAACTGAATCCAACCCACTTGAGGTTCACAATGGCTCATAATTAAGTCATTAATATTTATTGATTTAAAATGCTTGACAAGGTGTTTGACAAATTAATTACTTATTGTTTGACACGATGCTATACAAATTAATTAAAGTAATTGCAATACAATTAACTCCATGTGCATTGTCTTAAAGGACTTTTTGACGATGTATTGGATTATTTTGTCCCTGAAATGTATAGGACACGATGGTAATTTAGTTTTTTAGAAAAACATATTATCGTATGTCTTTAATGAAAAGTTTAGCTGGAAAAGGAACGTATGATAATTCTGCATCATCATTTGGGTGAAAGCTATTTTAATTGCCAAAATCACGATAATGAGTGATCCATTGAATCCAAATTTAAAATGGCCGAAATTACAACCCAATGAGTAGCAAAGAGGAACTTTAGAACATGGCTTCTTATCAGAGGAACTAACTGGTGAATATGCATTCAAATTGCATAATGATGTTTCTAAATTTATTTGGAGAACGAAAGCGATTCCATCAATGGTTATATTCGTCCACCGTTCAGGAAAGCAAACCAAAAGAATCCAAGTAATCGATAGTAATTTAATGACGTATTTGCAAGAAGTAATTATTGTATCATGGTAACATGTGTACGTATTAATTGAATGTTTGCATGTCAAGGCAGATCATTTCTGGCAAAATTTAAAAAACCCATGTCAAATGTTATCTATTCATGGCGTAATGAGATTTGTCTGTGAAGTTAATGTAAACTTGTTGATAACTAGACGACGTAAACCTTTGATAGTCTAATACCTTGACATTCGGGTTTCAGGGATACCTAAGAAACATTTCAGACCATTTGGGATCTATATAGTTCTTCGTTAATATCAGCAACTGTACTAGCAATTCCTTGTTTTTCCTTTCACTTTCCAAGAAAATGGCACCAAGAGATGACACAACTTATTTTGGGATTTGAAGAGCGAGGAACCAACATTTTTGTGGGTTTATTCAAAATTTTGTAGAATCTTATAAAATGGTGAATCTCAAAATTAATGTATAAAAGCGTTGTAGTCAATATATGCATTTGTATAGGTCCATTTCAATTAATAGTAAGTTTGTTTCGTCTAACTTTTAATATTCCATCATAGTACTTTGATGTCTCAAAATTGCTTAAAGAGCTAAACTTTCTACCAATCCAATTGAATAACCGGAATATTGGTTTGATGGTTCACGAGTCGATCTAACAAAGTTGGGTGATCGTTAGTAAGAGTTCATCCTTCATCGTAATTTCACAATTTTGTCAACCCTCAAATCCATTACTCATAATAATTGAATGACATTTTTTCTTAAGTCGTGTACATTGTTACTCATAATAACGGACATGACATGTAAAATGGACTGCAAATGCCATATTATGACATGGTAATAACTTAAGACGCGTTAATGTGAAACTATGCTAAAGAGGATAAGTGTATTGTTCAGTACAAAAAATTAAATTATGTAACCTTTTTAACATCCTTGTCTTACGTTTTTAATTTTTCTTACTTTGTCTCGTAAGGGTTGTGAAACTAACTATCCTAGAAATGTTCGGATCTTGGTACCTTTGGATTAGGTTGAGGTTCAACATACGATACGTGTCCGCGACGAAAAGGAGGGTGGGAGGGGGGTGTTTGTCAAGAGAACGCGTATAAAATAGTTAGGTAACAAATAAATCGAGACCCTAAATTCGACTATATTCTTTTCAATTAAAAGATCTCTGAACTCCGGAAAGAGTAGGTCATTGCTGTTGTCCCGACCAAATATCACACGATGTAATTTGACGTTACCTGTCCCAAAGTGCTAAAAATGTGAATTACATTAATGGTCCTTGCTTATTTTAACTATTTTACAAGTTCGGCTGTTATCTTATAACCCATGGACCAGACAAGAAACAATTCCGTGCAAGACCATGATGATTCATGAAAGTTGTCTGCATATGGTACTAGACCATACACGAATGGATTCCTTTAAGTAAAACACATGACCGTAATCATGTTGACTCAACTGTAATAAATTATTGTAACATTAAATATTGAACAGTTCTTTTCTCTAGTTCATTGATAACCAGCGTCTCTTCAGTGCATATAATGAACAAAAAATCGATTGAGCAAACTCTCTTAACGTAGCATGCTAAGTATAGTTTTTATACCCCTGGGCTTCGAAAATCCAATATGGCATAGTTTCTGTAGTTTTTTGTCGTTATTACATACAGTGTTAATTCAATGAAATCAAAGGATCCATTACTAAAAACATATTGTTGTCAGATATAAGGTTTTTTACTAAATATTAATGATTTGGAATCTTGCCATCCTGAAATCTACACAAAAGAAAAAACACAAGAGACCGTATTCAAGACTTATAGCATAGTTTCTGTACTTTTTTGTCGTTCAGTTAAGAAATATAGTTCCATTTGATGTTTGTTCAAAAATATTAGACTGTTTACTCAACATTTATGTTTTGCAATCTTGAATGTTATAGACAAGAGGAAATCGCGGGATGAACAAGAGACAACCTCCCCGACTGATCTGGAAATTAAGAAAGAATTTACTTGAACCAAATCTGACTAGAGTTAGGACGTTGTACATTGGTCATACATTATCCCCAGCTACCTTGGTATAAGCTGAAAAGCATATAGCGAGATTCAACTACATCCAAGTTATTGCCCAATGTCAATGAGTAGACCAGAGAGCCGGTCAGTAAATCTGCCACCTTCAAATAACAGTAACCAAGTATGAATGACAGAAACAAGCAGTGGTTTGAGGAGGACAGGACAATCTTCACAAATATTTGATGAGTATTTACCTAAAGTCTTAAGACTACTACAAGCTGCCAAAAGATTAGAACTTGACAAAAGGTCGTGGAAAGGTGATAGCTTTCCTTTTTATTGTTCACTATTTCAATTTTAACTGCTGTAATCTACACTTATTGAAAAGTTGAAAGTTGTTCGTAGGTCAGTCTTGATTTATTAGCCCAAATCAATGGAGGTCGATTGATGTGAAAGTCAATTTTAAGAGAAGAGACCAGTATTGTGTATCCATTTGATGTCCGGTCCATTATTACTTCCTCATTTTGATATCCTTCTGAGTGAAAGACCGACAAATGTACACATCAACACCATTGTTTAAAGGAATACTACAACTTAGAATGGACATAAAATTTAAATTTTCTTACTTGGTCAACAAGTATATATATTGGACAAACTAGAATAGAATCTCCACATAAGACAATATATCCATTAAACTAAATAATTATTGAAAAATTTTTTTGCTCATCTTAACAGGTACAAAATCTTATCTTAAAAGATACATCCAAAGGGGGGATGGTACGGTACCAATTTCAAAATGTGTTAAAATTCTTTCTCCTTTTGCTCACAGATTTATCAGTTTTTGTTAACAATGTAAAATCATTATTATTTTTACTCATTCTTGGGAGAGTTATCATTGTTTTGTGAACTTTTTTTGACGAAACAACTCAACTATTTGAAGATTTCAACTATTTGGTCATTATCAAGGGAGTTCTCCCATACTGACTTCGGAGAAATTGGCTGCCAAGGTTTAGAACAAGGAGGAACAAGATGCATCTGGTTTTAGACAATAAGATAGTTAGAGAAGAACTTATGTAACACCCTTTAACATAATCTCAAACTATGCAATGTATGCAAGTCAATTTAGTAATGATATCATTTGGTAAGATAAGTATATCTGTTTTAATACCAAGATACAAACAGTAAGTAAATAGTAAGGTATAACGAGAAGGTCTAGGCTATTGTTCAAGTCTGGTTTATTAAAACATTATCTTCAATGTAGGCAAAGGCGTGGTTTCACGGCTTACAATCCTTAGATATTAGGTGAGTTGATATTACAAACTAGTCTGCATAATATCATTTTAACATGTCATTCGCTACTGGAACATATAACACTTTTGAAACTGGTGACGCAAACCAAACACCGAAAATATCATGAAATCAGTATTTCACAATTGTACTAACCATTTGGACACGTCTGTACTGGATAATGTAGAGAAACACGCTGTAGTGAGGTAGTGATACAAACCACCAAAGAAAAAGACATAGCTGAAACAAAGTGAAATACGTTTACCATTCTTTAACCGCTTTGTTAGTTTGTATCAATTACCCACCCTTTTCCTTTCATAACATTCAGTACAGATTGATGTGTTGAAAAGATATTATGCAGAATTGTTAAAAACGTTTATTAGCTCTGGGTCTGGTTTGTTGGTTTGTATCACTAACTCACCCTCAAATAGTGTTTTCTGTAATAACATACAGAACAGAATGACGTGTTCAAATGATGTTATGCAGAATTGTGAAATTCGTTTACCAGTAGTAACATACCATACTTTGTGCGATTTGTTGGTTTGCATCGCTATGCCACCCTCGTTGTGGTGTTTTCTGTCATAACGTACAGAGCAGGATGAGTTGTTGAAATGTTATTATGCAGAATAGTGAAATACGTTTACCAGTAGTTACATTTTTTTGTCCGATTTGTTGGTATGCATCAGTAACCCACACTTAACAGTGTTTTCTGTTATAGCATACAGTGCAAAATGACATGTTGAAATGATATTATGCCGAATAGTAAAATACGTTAAACAGAAATCTGACTACTGTGGATTCCATTAAATGTACAATGTATGCATATTTGTATTGTGATTTATGGTATTTCGTTTAATACTTAAAAGTTAACACCAGATCAACATTGGGTTTTGTTTAAAGGGATTAGCTCGTCTAAATATTTGACATGATAACCAGAAAGGATCGATTATATATTATGTAGGAATATA